CCATTATTTGGTAAAATGTTTTTTAAAGTATTGTGATGTTTTACAATTATAAATTATAAGTATCTTATCAATTCAGAAGTAAATGTAGCCCTGTTCTCTGCCAGCTGCTCATTTGTCAGAATTCTTTGTGTCTTCTGACTGCTTCAAATCCAGGCATTTTTTCCCCTTAGGGTTGAAAGATCCCTTGGGAGGGATCAATTTTGCTTCTTTGTACTGCATGATATGAACCTTCCCATATTAAAACAGTTTTAAATTTTTACTTTGAAGGAGTAGTAGCATATAATCTAAAATACAGAAATTAACTGAAGTTTGAAATTATTTAAAATTTGATTATTAATTGTTAAAGAATGGATATGAAATTAATCTCATGGTAACGGAAGAGTAAGAAGATACTTCTGGGTGAGACCTGGGGAGTTCAAGTTTAGAATTAACAAGTGTAGCCAAGTGTTGCGTTTTCCTTTACTGCCAGGGTTCCCCACATGCCTGTGTCTATAAAACAGTGTCCTGACAGTTGGGCTGTTACGTTACATTGAATTTCTTGGCTTTCATTCTGAGAATGACTTAAGCAGGAATAACAAGTTGTGTTTTGCAAGTTGAATAAAGCAAAATGGTGACTTGCCTGCTGCATTTGACGGCTGGGAAAAGACCAGCTGGTACTGTGGCAGCTCCCATTGGCTGCTGAATGGTTAGAACATCGGAATGGGGTCCCGAATTCTGAGCTGTGAGAACTTAGATGTGTCCCACCAACAAGAATGACTGAGCTGACATGGGATTCTAGCGCAGAAGGCAGCACAGTGGCGTGACCTAAATTAACTGAATTTCTGCTGCAGTTCTCTTGTGTGTATTGTTTTGTAATTTCCAAAGTTCTGCTTGGTACAGCCCCTTGTAGCGAGTCTGCCTATTCTTGTACATGCATGTGCGAGGGTAACTGTGAACAAACTGAAGTCTCCCGTCTCAGTGGTGAAAACAGCCTAATAAAATGCGCATATTAAACTCCTCCGAGACTCCACTTCTGTTTATTTGACATCCAGATTGTTCAGTGTTTATCGTGTCTGATCTGAATGGAAGAAAGGATTTAGTGTCAATAAAGACTTGGGGATTTCCTTACTAGCTGTCTTTGGGTTTCTGTTGCTAAAAATAGACACCGTGACCACGGCAACTCTTATCAAGAAGACATTTTGTTGGGGCTGGCTTACCATTTCAGAGGTGCCACCCACTATCACGATGGCGGGGAACATGGAAGGGTGCAGGCAGGTGGGGTGCTGGAGCTGAGAGTGCAACATCTCGTGGGCAACAGGAAATCAACTGACTGCCACACTGAGGAAACATGAGCAAAAGAGACCTCAAAGCCCACCCGCACAGTGACACACTTCCTCCAACAAGGCCACCTCTCCTAATAATGCCTCTCCCTTTGTGGGCCATTTTCTTTCAAACCATCACTGTAGCCATATTTTAGCTACTTGTCAATTAATGTCAAGAGGCTGTAAAAAGAATTTTCTTTAATTTTTGTACTGAAGATTGAAGCTAGGTCTTCACAAAGTCTAGGCAAGCACCCTGCCACCAAGGCAAATCTTCAGGCCATTTTTCACCGCTTTTTATTTTGAAGCACAGTTTCACTAAATTGCCAAGTGACCCTCCTGCCTGGGCCTCCTGAGTGGAGGGATCTGAGTCTGTGCCACCAGACTCAGCAAGATGCACGCTTACCTGTTCTGTCATCTCTTTTGTTTCCATCTTCCAGAATATTCTGTGGAAACTTGGAGGAAAGATCGTGGTGGTTTCCATAGTAGATTGCCTGTAGCTTAAAAGCTGATGTATTTCGTGGCAGCATTTTTAGAATATAGAAATTGGAAACAGATGTTTGTCCATTACGCTGAGTTCCAACATAATGTATTTATCATAGACGTTTTTAAATTTCCTGTTTGAGTAAAATGTAGGCGTTAGCCTTCTGTAGACACAAGAACCCGTCTAGGCTGCGATCCTTGGAAGTGATGTGGGGAGCTTACAGGGAGCATTTCATATATGCTTAACAGCGTTATCGTCGGCATTTGTCCTTAGTTTCCTTTTTAACTGTTTGGAGTCAGGAAGTCGTAGTCCAAGCCTTGAACTTGGGATGTAGCTGAGAACGATTTTTTCATTTCTGATCTTTCTGCCTCCACTTTCCCAGTGCTGAAACTGTAGACATGGTCACCACACCCAGTTATTACATGGACTTGGGACAGAACCCAGGGTTTCATATGCACTAACCAAGCACTGAGCTACATCCCCAGCCCTTAAATAAGAAATTAATACATTGAATTGTACTTTAATATATTCTAGGGGAAAGCAACTATGAATTTGTTGTGTTTTATTGTGTTCTGTTGTGTAGCTCCAGGTGGCTTCAAACTTGTTATATAGCTGAGGTTGGCCTTGAACTTTCTTCTTAACTTCCTGCATCCACCTCCAAAGTCCTGGGATTTATGGCCTCCACCACGTGATGGTGTCGCTTTCCAATTTCCTATTTTAGTGTTTACTCCCATAGTAATCAGTTACACATTTGTAAGATACCAATGCAGTCAAGACCCTCCCTTAAATACAGTCAAAGCCTAAAGGAACAGTGTTACACGCCTGAGATTTCTTTGTCTCATGGTATTTGTACGTGTTCTTTCACAATGTCCCAGGAAGTCTTTCTCTTTTTAAAAATAGATGTTATTAAGTATCTGGGTATTGTACTTGTGTGTATGTCTGTGCACCACATGTGTGTCTGGTGTCCACAGAAGCCAGAAGAGGGTGTCTGATCCTCTGGAAATGAAGTTACCAGCTGTTGTGGAGCTGTGAGGTACCATGTGGGTACTGGGAATTAAACTCAAGTCCTCTGGAAAGAGCAAGCAGTTCTCTTAATCACGGATGCATCACTCCAGTCTTTACTGTGTGTGTGTGTGTGTGTGTGTGTGTGTGTTTAATAATCTTTCAAAATTTTCTGCATACATACAAGACATTTTTATCTCATTTGCCCTCTATTCCTCTCCTTACCGTTTCCCAACTTCATGTCCTCTGTTTTATTTTTTTAAAATAATCCACGAATTTGTACTGTCCGTATACATTCATGGGTGTGGAGAATCCACTGGAAGATGGTTGACCTACTGGGAGCCACAGCCCCTGTGGTGATTTGAAAGAAAATGGCCCTCAAAGGGAGTGGCACTGTTAGGAGGTGTGGCCTTGCTGGAGGAAGTGTGTCACTGTGGAGGTGGGTTTTGAGGTCTCATATATGCTCAAGATACTGGCCAGTATCGCAATTCACTTCCTGTTGCCTTTGGATCAAGATGTAAGGACCCTCAACTCCAGCACCATGTCTGTCTGCATGCTGCCTTGCTTCCTGCCATGATGATAGTGGACTAAACCTCTGAACTGTAAGTGAGCCACCACAATTAATGTTTCCTTTATAAGAGTTGCCATGGTCATATCGTCTCTTCTCAGCAATAGAAGCCCTAACTTAAGATACTCCCTTAAAGAAAAACTGACTCTCCTTACCCCTGGAAGCCATTAGCTGTCAACAGCTCCTTTCCTAGAGGTGGGACTCATGAACCTCTCCTCACCGCGTGCAGGAATATTTGCTGATCTTGTGCAGGTAACCACAGCTGCTATGAGTTCCTGAATGTAGTCATCCTGCCAAGTCCTAAAAATATCTTGCTGTGGTCCTCCCTGTCCTCTTGCTCCCTCAGTCTTTTTACTCCCTCTTCCAAGACAGTCTCTGAGCCTCGGGAGAGGGTGGGATATCCATGTCTCATTCACAAATGAACATGTCACAGACTCTCATTCTCTGCATGTTGGACAATCTCTACTTTTCACCACTCTCCACTGCACAGAGAAGCTTATCTGATGGCATCTAACAGCATCAATGAGTATAGGAATGTGACCTTAGAGAGATGCTCAACACGGTGTCCATTTACAAAATAGCAGTAAGTTCACTTCTGGGCCCGTGAGTTCTACAGCCATGGGTTCCTGGTCATATTTACAGTAACAAGGATTTATTTTCTCCTATGAAGTGTGCAAAAAGGCAACAGTGGTCGCCTGGATTGCTGAAGCAAGAAATCTAATGAGGAGCCACTGAGCTTTTGGTCACACATCAAGTATAGGGCTCCCTCAAGAATCAGGATACCATGCCGTATGGTAAGAGGCTATTGGCCAGAAGCAAGGCTGGCTACAGAATATTATTGTTGCTCTCACTCACAGCTTATGGAATACAGTTCACCATTGCCTTGATTGTAGGATAGAAAGGCAGGCAGTCACATTATATCCACAGTTAAACAAATTCTCCTTTCCCCACTTTCTCCTTTTTGTTCCATCTGGAGCACCAGACCAGGGCTGCCCATACTCCAGGTAGGTCTTCTCTCTTCAATTTACCTGTGCAGACAAGCCTAAAGCATACCCAGAGTTGTGTTTATCCATGGTGAGTCTAAAGCCAATCAGGTGGACAATGAAGATTAACCACTGCAAAAATAGTGTGTGCCAACTTACAAGAAGGCCTGCCTGGGGTCTGGGCAGCCTTGGGCTGGGGCTCCCGACTAAAGAAAAGGTGGCGCAGGAGAATTGTCTGTATTCTGTCAATCATATTTTAATAAAATGCTGATTGGCCAGGCAGGCAGTACAGGCAGGAAAGCCAGACAGGAAGTAGGGGTGGAATAAAGAGACTGGGAGTATTCTGGGACACAGGAAGCTCTCTCGCCACTCCTGCGCAGACCAAAGCAGTAACAT